CTCAGTTAAGTTCCTCCTAATCTTCCTATACGTGCAAACATATGGTATTTGTCCTTCTCTGCCTGACTTATTTCGCTCAGCATAACACCCTCAAGGTCCATCCATGTTGCTACACAGGGCCAGATTTCTTTGTTTCTCATTGCCATGGAGTATTCCATGGTATAGATAAACCACATCTTTTTGATCCATTCGTCCATTGATGGACACTTAGGCTCTTTCCATGTTTTAGCTATTGTGGAGAGTGCTGCTATGAACATTGGGGTACATGTGCCCCTATGCATCAGCATTTCTGTATCCCTTGGGTAAATTCCTAGCAGGGCTATTGCTGGGTCCTAGGGGAGTTCTATTGTTAGTTTCCTGAGGAACCTCCACACTGTTTTCCAGAGGGGCTGTACCAGTTTACATTCCCACCAACAGTGTAGGAGGGTGCCCGTTTCTCCACATCCTCGCCAGCGTCTAGAGTTCTCTGATTTGCTCATTTTAGCCAAAGAGTTTTCTTTTTAAATGAAATAAACTTTCTGAGGTTTAGGTCTACAAATTTCAAAGATCAGCTGTATGATGATTATGAAGTGTGCTTTTTTAAGTCTGTTTTGGGGCCAATAACATACACATACAGAAGGTGATGGGAAAACGATACACAAAAATAACGCCCAAGGACCAAGCTATCCGAACAATATGTTTCTGTAAGTGACACTATCTTAACCACATACAGTCAACTAGAACCTCACTTTGACCTGGCTTCGGCATTGAATTCTATTCTCCAGCCTTGGTGATTTCCCTAGTGGTATTTTCATTCGCCACTAGGTGGCTACATGATAACCGATCTGAGGACAAGTTTCTGCACGAGAAATCAAATACCTTCCACAAAAAAGGCATCATCACACCATCACCACTTATATTGTATATTTCCTCAAAAAATTTAGAGCCATCCTAAAGACAGACCCAGTTTTTCAAACCTTTATAATGATTTGAAGTTAAAAAATACAAATTATAAAGGTATTTGTTTAGATTATGAAGACTGCTGAAGTACACGTATTTTAAAACATCTGGAGTTTGTCACCAATGTGTTACCAAACTGGACTCTTATCTGTAGAACCTGAGAGTCATTTTTACCGGAAGTCATGTGTATTGGCCACAGTGGCACATAATTCAAATCAACACAGTTCAATCCGCTGACTGTTTTAAAATTTCAAGTAGAACAACACAAGTTTAAGAATTTTAAGTACATTTTATTAACAACGTATCCCTTTGATAAGATTATGCTTCAGGAGGCTTTTAATGCCCTTGACATAAACTGTACACATTATACAAAAACAAGAAAAACCACACACACACACACACACACACACACACACACACAAATCAAGGTGAGCAAAACCATTTGGGGACAAACCTTCTTTAAATTATACACAACTTAATGAAATATTCTTACGGAAAATATATAAATACTTTTTCTTTCTATGTTACAGCTATACAATATAAATCAGATTTCAATGTTCAGTGACCTACAAACACCAGAACCTCCAAATATGTAGCAGCTTCTTACTAAAGAAAGAAAGAAGAATATCACGTGGTTAGGGAGCATCACGTCTGAGAATTTATTCACAACCCCTTACTCACCACTTTTCAAAACTAATCTGCACCGTCTGTGTTTATAATGCGGCTGCAGGCTTCTGCCAGGCCAGTAATGGAACTTGTTTCAACGATTACCCAGGAAACATTTGTATCTCCCCGGCTCTGCCCCAAGACTTTGTGTTTTGTGCTAAATCAACCTAGTTAGTGGCAAAGTTACAAGGTATACTTTTTGGCATAAATTATAGTTTTCAAATTAAATATTTTATAAAGAAAATCAAATAAGATGTGCAATTAATGCGTGCTGTGTCATAGTTATCCACCTACATTACAAAAATACTCCAAAGGCGGGGGGTGGGGATCCACATTCTGTGTGAGTCCTATAAGCCTACTATGAATGAAATCTACTCTGGACACTTGGAACTAAAAGAAAATGAAGAATGTTCCTAGAAAGATCCTTACAGATTTCAACATTGTCTGACAAACACTGCTATCCATTCCACTAGTACGCTTTCATAAGGAAGCTCTTGCTGTAGTGATACTCTGGAATTGAAGCTGGTAATAATGGACTTCTGGATCAGGAGACCAGGGAGACCTTCCCCAACTTACGTTTTTGGAAAACCTGAAATGTTCTTTTATTCCATCAGTTCTTCTCCTAAAACTCTCTCAATTAGTCCTGCCTTCACTTTCTTCCCATGTGTCCTGGATTGTGAATTTGAGACAACACTGGAAGCATAAAACAAAAGGGGAAAAACCTTACGTTCAAAGGACTTTTCCCACCGTGGTTTACAAAGCTAATCTCACAAAAAGTTAGCACCTCACTCTTACCAGGCAAAAGCAACTGTGGTTGTAATTTGGACGACAATTTGATTGGTTTTTATTGCTCAATGATCTGTGCTTTAATGTGG